CGAAATTTTGAACTACAATAAAATTTCTGGAATCAGTTTCAAGTTTCTGGATTTCTTTAAATTCACACAAGTTTGAATTTTTTTACTCACTGAAATTACTCAGATTTCCCCAAAAACTACTTTATGGAATTCTTTTAAATTCCCTTTTTTTCAAATTCACTAATATTTGGAGTTTTTGGGGTCAGTTCATAAACAAAGGAACCACGAAAATTTATTTAGAATGACTGGATTTTTTTTGAAATTCAACAAAATTCTTCCAAAATTCGTGAAATCATTGTTGTGTTTAATGCAATTCTGTAAAATTCTGAACTACACTGAAATTTCTGGAATCTGGTTCAAGTTTCTGGATTTTTTTAAATTCACAGAAGTTTGAAATTTTTACTCACTGAAATTACTCAGATTTCTCCAAAAACTACTTTTTAGAATTCTTTTAAATTCCCTTTTTTTCAAATTCACTAATATTTGGAGTTTTTGGGGTCAGTTCATGAACAGAGGAACCACGAAAATTTATTTAGAATCACTGGAATTTTTTTGAAATTCACCAAAATTCTTCCAAAATTCGTGAAATCATTGTTGTGTTTAATGCAATTCTGTGAAATTTTGAACTACAATAAAATTTCTGGAATCTGGTTCAAGTTTCTGGATTTTTTTAAATTCACAGAAGTTTGAATTTTTTTACTCACTGAAATTACTCAGATTTCTCCAAAAACTACTTTATGGAATTCTTTTAAATTCTCTTTTTTTCAAATTCACTAATATTTGGACTTTTTGGAGTCAGATCATAAACAGAGCAACCACGAAAATTTATTTAGAATCACTGGAATTTTTTAGAAATTCACCGGAATTCTTCTAAAAATTCGCAAAATCACTGTTGTGTTTAATGCAATTCTGTGAAATTTTTACTACAATAAAATTTCTGGAATCTGTTTCAAGTTTCTGGATTTTTTTTTAATTCATAGAAGTTTGAAATGTTTTACTCACTTTGAAATTACTCAGATTTTTCAAAAAACTACTTTCTGGATTTTTTTTAAATTCTCAATTTTTTTTGTGAATTTATTTAGTACAATATTTGGATTTCTTGGGGTCAGTTCATAAACAGAGGAACCACTAAAATTGATTTAGAATCACTGGAATTATTTAGAAATTCACCGGAATTCTTCTAAAATTCGCAAAATTTCTGTGGTGTTAAATGCAATTCTGTGAAATTTTGAACTACAATAAAATTTCTGGAATCTGTTTCAAGTTTCTGGATTTTTTTTTAAATCATAGAAGTTTGAAATTTTTTACTCACTTTGAAATTACTCAGATTTCTCAAAAAACTACTTTCTGAATTTTTTTAAATTCTCAATTTTTTTTAGTGAATTTATTTAGTACAATATTTGGGTTTCTTGGGGTCAGTTCATAAACAGAGGAACCACTAAAATTTATTTAGAATCACTGAAATTTTTTAGAAATTCACCGGAATTCTTCTAAAATTCGCAAAATCACTGTTGTGTTTAATGCAATTCTCTGGAATTTTGAACTACAATAAAATTTCTGGAATCTGTTTCAAATTTCTGGATTTTTTTTAAATTCATAGAAGTTTGAAATGTTTAACTCAGTTTGAAATTACTCAGATTTCTCAAAAAACTACTTTTTGGATTTTTTTTTAAATTCTCAATTTTTTTTTAGTGAATTTATTTAGTACAATATTTGAAGTTCTTGGGGTCAGTTGATAAACAGAGGAACCATCAGATTTCTCAAAAAACTACTTACTGGATTTTTTTTAAATTCTCAATTTTTTTAGTGAATTTATTTAGTACAATATTTGGATTTCTTGGGGTCAGTTCATAAACAGAAAAACCACTAAAATTTATTTAGAATCACTGGAATTTTTTAGAAATTCACCTGAATTCTTCTAAAATTCGCAAAATCACTGTTGTGTTTAATGCAATTCTGTGAAATTTTGAACTACAGTAAAATTTCTGGAATCTCTTTCAAGTTTCTGGATTTTTTTTTTTTTAATCATAGAAGTTTGAAATTTTTTACTCACTTTGAAATTACTCAGATTTCTCAAAAAACTACTTTCTGGAATTTTTTTAAATTCTTAATTTTTTTTCAGTGAATTTATTTACTAAAATATTTGAAGTTCTTGGGGTTAGTTCATAAATAGAGGAACCACTAAAATTTATTTAGAATCACTGCAATTTTTTTTAAATTCACCGGAATTTTTCTAAAATTCGCGAAATCTCTGTCGTGTTTAATGCAATTCTGTGAAATGGTGAATTAAAATAAAATTTCTGGAATCTGTTTCAAATTTCTTGATTTTTTTTTAAATTCACAGAAGTTTGAATTTTTTTATCACTGAAATTACTCAGATTTCCCAAAAAACTACTTTCTGGATTTTTTTTAAATTCTTAATTTTTTTCAGTGAATTTATTTAGTAAAATATTTTAAGTTCTTGGGGTTAGTTTATAAATAGAGGAACCACTAAAATTTATTTAGAATCACTGGAATTTTTTAGAAATTCACTGGAGTTCTTATAAAATTCGCGAAATCGCTGTTGTGTTTAATGCAATTCTGTGAAATGGTGAACTAAAATAATAAAATTTCTGGAATCTGTTTCAAGTTTCTCGATTTTTTTAAATTCACAGAAATTTGAATTTTTTTTGTCACTGAAATTACTCAGATTTCTCAAAAAACTACTTTCTGGATTTTTTTTAAATTCTCAATTTTTTTTAGTGAGTTTATTTAGTACAATATTTGGATTTCTTGGCGTCAGTTCATAAATAGAGGAACCACTAAAATTATTTAGAATCACTGGAATTTTTTTGAAATTCACCGGAATTCTTCTAAAATTCTCGAAATCATTTTGTGTTTAATGCAATTCTGTGAATTTTGAATTATAATAAAATTTCTGGAGTTTGGTTCAAGTTTCTGGATTTTTTTTGAAATTCACAAAACTTTCAAATTTTTTTCTCACTTTGAAATTACTGAAATTTCTCAAAAAACTACTTTCTGGAATTCTTTTAAATTCTCAATTTTTTTTCAAATTCGCTAAAATTGTTCTTAAACTAGTGATATCAATATTTGGATTACTACAGTGAATTTATTTTTATTTAGTACAATATTTGGAGTTCTTGGGGTCAGTTCATAGACAGATGAGCCACTAAAATTTATTTAGAATCACTGGAATTTTTTTAAAATTCACCAGCATTCTTCTAAAATTCGCGAAATCATTGTTGTGTTTAATGCAATTCTGTGAATTTCGAACTATAATAAAATTTCTGGAATATGTTTCAAGTTTCTGTTTTTTTTTTTTTTAATTCACAAAAGTTTGAAATTTTGTACTCACTTTAGTTATTTGAAATACCTGGAATTGAATTTCCCGCAGAGTTAAAAAAATAAAAAAAAAAGCTTGCCTTTCATTTGGCACCATTTGCCTATTTTTTTTAATCGATAAAAGTAAAAAGTTTTACAAAAAAAAACATTTTGGAAAATGAATTTCAGGAAAATTTAAATTCTCAAAACATAGTCTTGAAACGGACTTCATCTACTGTCATTTTGTTGGAGACTTCAATAGGAAGTTAAGCTTGAAACTACTGATTTTTGTACTAAATTATAATATCTAGAGTCATTTTTCAAAAAAAAATTGGACATCTAAAAATAAACAAATTATAGCAATTAAAATGAGTTTAAGTTTCTACGAATAACTAGTGACTTTTTAGCAATTTCAAATGATTCGTGAAAGTAGTTTCATGGTCGGTCCGAGCCAAGGTTACTGGACCCAGTTGACGTAACTTAGTACATGGTAACATTTTTGATAGATAATAGACCCTTAGTTAACAAATCAGTCAAAAAAACTACTAAAACATTTTTTTAAAAAACAAACCTGAAAATTTGACCGAAAAAATTACCACTAAATTTTCTTAGAAAACCTACCAGAACATCTTCCTTTAAGTGTGTCTGACATAAATAGTCAAAAAATGTATGCTTCTAATATAATCTAAAAATAATTAAACGAAGGAAATTGCTGAAACTGAACTCTCAAATAAATAATGTGTTCCCTTGTGAACAAAATTTCTTTGTTACTTCAGGTGGTTTCTCACAGCCTTGCATACTTCTAAAAAAATTTTTCGAATTTTTAAACAATTTCAACATAAATTTTAAACCCGTCATTTTTAAAACAAAATATACAGTGTGTTCCAAAAATCGCTGTTGTTCATACATAAAAAAATAAATAAAATGAGCTAATCCTTACATGAAATATCCTACACACACATAATTCGCGGACTTTTCAGCAGGAATTTTGAACCGCGACTAAAAAATGGAAGTCAACATTTTCAGCAGGAATTTTATTCTCAAGCTCTGAAAAACAAATATAGTTTTAGTTAAAAACTCATTCAATTATTTTTGAATTCCTGCTGAAAACATCTGAAAATTGAAATCTCATGGTTCAGTCTCGGTTTGTAGAAAATGATTATAACAATCCTCTAAAACCTCGTTTCTTGTTTATTTTTTCTCGATAATTTCTCCTTAAAAATGTAATCAATTTTCTTTTCTATGATTATAAATCACTAAAGTGAAAAACATGCTATCGGAACTTAAAACGTTTTCAAGACCATTTTCTAGTTTTTTAGCAGGAAAAATTGACTGATAAATTCCTGCTGAAATCGGCCCCGATGATTTTTTTAAATCGCTAATTTTTCTGTCAGGACTCGTTTCCGAGCCTCCGCCAAATCCTCGCGTCCGAATTTCCACCGCTCCACATTCTCAGCATCACTCTCGATTTCTTCCGCAGCCGAACGCGACCTAGGCTGTAACCTTGGCTCCGCACAGCATACCATCCGCAACTTCGCCGCGATCTTATCTCTTTAGCAACGCCGCAATTATCTCGGAAAATCGCTGGGCTGCAATTAGCGCCCGAGTTCGTGTATGAAATCGGCACGTTCACCACCGGCTGCTTGCGAAAACGCTTGCGAAAGCGGCGGCGGCGCCGCCGCCCCCGGCTCGGACTTTACCGTTTGGGAAGCCGAAGTCATCACTGCCATCACTACTAACTCGCGACTAGCCGATACACATTCCACGTCAAAGCTCTTCGGAAAAATGCGTGTGCATCGCCGAGAGTTACCAAATAAACTAAACGCGCTCGCAGAGCCGCTTCATTATTTCGCAACGATCTTCGTTTGTTGTGGCGGTAGGTGGGGCCGGCGCTGCCGCCCGACGTGCACCGGAGCAGGGAGGGCGGAGGTGACCGCTGGCGCGGGGCCGAGGGCCCGGGCTGGCGCGGGCTGCGGCGGAGGTGATGGGAAAGGTGGCGGGGAGTGGGTCTGGGTTTTGGCAAAATTTCAGGTTTCAGAGAGGAGATGGCTGAAAGTGTGAAGAGAGCTCGATTATTGTGCAAAATTTACCATCTTTGGTAAAAAAGGCACCAGAATGGGGGAAAAAAGATCCACCTTCTGAAGTTTTACGAATATTCAAACTTCCGTGGAGGATTTTGAGTAAAAAAAATTGTGCTTTCTGAAATCACATATTGGAGTTCGAAATTTGAAGATTGTTCATCCTGACAGCTTTACACAGTCATGTGTACAGAAATTTACTCTCCTCTGAAGCACGACCAATGCAGATTCAAGACCAATTACTAGAGTGTTTTTAAATTCACCGGACTTATTTTGAAATCTGCGAAATCATTGTCTGTTTTTTAATGGAATGTTTAGAATTTTTGAATCTACTAGGAATTTCAGTCTAGAAACAGTTTCTACTTTCCGGATTGTTTTTAAATTCATAGAAATGATTTGGAATCACTGGAATTCCTTTAACGTCTGTGAATTCGTTGTTGTATTTAATAGAATATTTGAAACCTTTGTATTTATTTTACAAATACAATTCCTAAAATAAAAAAAAAATCTGGAATTTTTTTAAATTCACTCTATTTTTTGGAATTCACCGAAATCGTTGTTAAACCGGAGGTATCAGGTTTTAGATCACTTGAGTGAATTTATTTAGGAAATTTTTGGAGTTCTTGAAATTAGTTTCTAAACAGCTGAATCACTGGAATTTATTTGGAATTACTAACATTGTTTAAAAATCACCGGAATTCTTTCTATATTCCCAAAATCATTGTTGCATTTATTGGAATATTTAGAATTTTTTGACAGACACTGAAATTCCTAGAAACAGTTTCTACTTTCCAGATTTTTTTTTAAATTCATAGAAATTATTTGGAATCACTGGAATTCTTTTAACGTCTGTGAATTCGTTGTTGTATTTAATAGAATATTTAAAACTTTTGCACTTATTTTGCAAATACAATTCCTAAAATTAATAAGAATCTGGAATTCTTTTAAATTCACTCTATTTTTTGGAATTCACCGAAATCGTTGTTAAACCAGAGGCATCAGGTTTTAGGTCACTTGAGTGAATTTATTTAGGAAATTTTTGGAGTTCTTGAAATTAGTTTATGAACAGCGGAATCACAAGAATTTATTTCGAATTACTAACATTGTTTAAAAATCACCGGAATTCTTTTGAAATTCCCAAAATCATTGTTGCATTTAATGGAATGTTTCGAATTTTTTTACAAATACTGAAATTCCTAGAAACAGTTTCTACTTTCTGGTTTTTTTTTAATTCATAGAAATTATTTGGAATCACTGAAATTCTTTTAACGTCTGTGAATTCGTTGTTGTATTTAATAGAGTACTTGAATTGTAATTATTTTGCAAATACAATTACTAAAATCAATAAGATTCTGGATTTTTTTTAAATTCACTCTATTTTTTGGAATTCACCGAAATCGTTGTTAAACCAGAGGCATCAAGTTTTAGATCACTTGAGTGAATTTATTTAGGAAATTTTTGGAGTTCTTGAAATTAGTTTCTAAACAGCGGAATCACTAGAATTAATTTCGAATTACTAACACTATTTAAAAATCAGCGGAATTCTTTAGAAATTCCCAAAATCATTGTTGCATTTAATCGAATATTTAGAATTTTTTTACAGACATTGAAATTCCTAGAAACAGTTTCTACTTTCCGGATTTTTTTTTAGATTCATAGAAATTATTTGGTATCACTGGAATTCTTTTAACATCTGTGAATTCGTTGTTGCATTTAATAGAATATTTGAAACTTTTGTACTTACTTTGCAAATACAATTCCTAAAATCAATAAGATTCTGGAATTCTTTTAAATTCACTCTATTTTTTGGAATTCACCGAAATCGTTGTTAAACCAGAGGCATCAGGTTTTAGATCACTTGAGTGAATTTATTTAGGAAATTTTTGGAGTTCTTGAAATTAGTTTCTAAACAGCGGAATCACTAGAATTAATTTCGAATTACTAACACTATTTAAAAATCACCGGAATTCTTTAGAAATTCCCAAAATCATTGTTGCATTTAATCGAATATTTAGAATTTTTTTACAGACATTGAAATTCCTAGAAACAGTTTCTACTTTCCGGATTTTTTTTTAGATTCATAGAAATTATTTGGTATCACTGGAATTCTTTTAACATCTGTGAATTCGTTGTTGCATTTAATAGAATATTTGAAACTTTTGTACTTACTTTGCAAATACAATTCCTAAAATCAATAAGATTCTGGAATTCTTTTAAATTCACTCTATTTTTTGGAATTCACCGAAATCGTTGTTAAACCAGAGGCATCAGGTTTTAGATCACTTGAGTGAATTTATTTAGGAAATTTTTGGAGTTCTTGAAAATAGTTTCCAAACAGCGGAATCACTAGAATTAATTTCGAATTACTAACACTGTTTAAAAATCACCGAAATTCTTTCGAAATTCCCAAAATCATTGTTGCATTTAATGGAACATTTAGAATTTTTTTACAGACACTGAAATTCCTAGAATCAGTTTCTACTTTCTGGATTTTTTTTTAAACTCATAGAAATTATTTGGAATCACTGGAATTCTTTTAACGTCTGTGAATTCATTGTTGTACTTAATAGAATATTTGAAACTTTTGTATTTATTTTGTAAATACAATTCCTAAAATCAATAAGAATCTGGATTTTTTTTAAATTCACTCTATTTTTTGGAATTCACCGAAATCGTTGTTAAACCGGAGGTATCAGGTTTTAGATCACTTGAGTGAATTTATTTAAAAAATTTTTGAAGTTCTTGAAATTAGTTCCTAAACAGCGGAATCACTGGAATTTATTTCGAATTACTAACATTGTTTAAAAATCACCGGAATTCTTTTGAAATTCCCAAAATCATTGTTGCATTTAATGTAATATTTAAGACACTGAAATTCCTAGAAACAGTTTCTATTTTCCGGATTTTTTTTTTTAATTCATAGAAATGATTTGGAATCACTGGAATTGAATTCTTTTAACGTCTGCGAATCCGTTGTTGTATTTAATAGAATATTTGAAACTTTTGAACTTATTTTGCAAATGTAATTCCTAAAATCAGTTTCTGGTTTCTGGAATTCTTTTAAACTCACTCAAGTTTTTTGGAATTCACCGAAATTATTGTTGAAATAGTTCCATCAGGATTTAGATGACTTCAGTGAATTTATTTAACCCAATCTTTGGACTTCTTGAAATTAATTCATAAACAACCGAACCACTAGAATTTATTTGGAATTACTGGCTTGTTTGAAATTCACTGCAATTCTTTTGAAATACTGAATACTATGGTTGTGTTTAATGGAATGGTGAGAATTTTGGTTCATTACTGAAATTCCTAGAGTCAGTTTCTAGTTTCTTGAACTTTTTTAGAAATTATTTGGAATGACTAGAATTCTTTTCACAATTTGAATTTGTTATTGTATTTAATAGAAAATTTGAAATTTGTGCACCTATTTTGTAAACAGCGTTCCTAAAATCAGTTTCTAGTTTCTGAAATTCTTTTAAATTCACTCACAAGTTTTTTTGGGATTCACCAGAAGCATCAGAATTTGTATCATTTCAGTAAATTTATTTAGGGAAATCTTTGAAATTGTCGAAACTAGTTCACGAACTACTACAATTTTTTTCGAATTACTAACATTTTTTGAAAATCAGCGGAATTCTTTTGAAATTCCCGAAATCATTGTTGTGTTTCATGAATTTTTTTTAAATTCATAGAAATTATTCGGAACCACTGGAATTCTTGTAACGTCTGCGAATTGTTGCTGTATTTAGTAGAATCTTTGAAATTTTTGGCCCCACTTTGAAAACACAAAAATTCCTAAAACCAGTTTCTACTTTCTAGATTTCTTTTAAATTCACATAAGTGGAGATTAGTTTTAAACCAGAAGCATTAGCTTTTGCGTAACTTAAATGAATTTCTTTAGTGCAATATTTGGATTTCTTGAAATTCACTTCTAAGAAATCAAAAATTCAGTTAAATTCGAATCAAAGCAAGACTATATAGTGTATTTTTGTGGTAACTTTTAAAAATGACGTCATCAACTTTCCGGAGGGTATAAATAAATTTTTACTCATGTTCGATAATCTCTAAATCAGTGTTGTAAGTCCATTACAAAATCTAGTTTCTCTTAAATAAATTTTAAAATTTGATGACCTAAGTCAATTTTTCGTTGTAAATATAAACATTAAGTTAAAAATAGGACGTTTCGTAACAACAATGACGTCCAAGCAAATTTTAGGAAATTAAATTGATTCTTTTTTATTTTCACACTAGATTTATAGCAACTCGAACGAACTGTATTAAATCAAACGTCAGATAGTTGATGTTTCAATTAAATTAAATACTAAATTTCACGACCATTAAAAGAAAGTAGTAACATGTACATACATAATTAACTACACCCATTCGTAAAATAAATTAAATGAGCGAAGTAAACTCTTTATCGTCATTAACATTCATTTACGTCACAAGCGAGATAAAAGCATTATTACCATGCAACGAAGCGTTACCCGGTTGTTATAAAACCGTCTCTACAAGAGTGTCGCCAAAAATAACCCACGTTTTTTTGCAGAAGTCAGTTGCAACAATTTCCTCAATATTTTTTTTTTTCACTTTTCAAACACGCTTTAATTAATTATGTAAAACCTTTTCTCCTGCAGCCGAATTATCCCTACTGATTATCACGACAAACAATGTCTTAATCAATCACAACCAACCTCTTTCTTCATCCTGCAGCAATAATTATTATTCCTGCAAAACACATAATACCAACCCACTCAACAGGTGT